GACCTAATCTGCCAATAATTCAGGTCACTATGGAGGAGAAAGAGGGCAGAGATGCCTGGAACGTACAGAGAAAAGTGTCGTCTTCATTTGCTTCTACACGTGTCGAACTAGGTTCTCTTGAAATAAGCGAGAGGTGTAATACAGCTTCTCAAGCGAATGAAAAACAGCGAAAAACGTCGGTAAAGGAAAGAATTGTAGTGGGCGAGACTCCACTAGGGAAAGACGTTCTTTTTCGCAGGAAAATTTCCAATACAGTGACTCCAAAAATTACTAAAGCTGAGGAGAAGGAACGGTTGCTGATGAAGTACACACCACTTAACAATGAGGCAATGAATGTAGGCCAATATAACAAAAAACAAATAAAAAAATTGTACTTTAGTAGGTACAATATTTCGATGGAAGTCAGAAAAACTGCTGAAGTTTTACCGTCACTGTCAAAGGAGAGCAAAACTAGGGGAACAATCCTCTCGGACTGGATTGCTCGAGGTAGAACGCAAAGCCTCAATTTTGATTCTGGAAAGGCTGAAGCAAGGAAGAAGGCCTTTCGAGGAGACCCGTCAGCAGATGCAAATTCTAGGGACCGAGCGCAAAGTTTGAACTTTGAAATACGGAGATGTGAGAGTAGTGCTGGGTCTACTAAAATAAGACAACCCAAGGACAGAAAGAAAGGATTACACGATATAACAAGAGAGTTGAGGAAACAAAACTCGCCTCATGACACAGCAGAGACAAAAGAATCTGTAATTAAACCCAACGGTTTGCCTTCATCGTTACTAGTTCCTTTTTCACAAAGCGCCATCGCGGTAAATACTTTTGAAGGAAAGCTCTCACCTGTACGAGACAAGCTGGACATTAAACCATCTCGCAAAGAATCTCAGGATAGAAACGCTTTTCTAACGTTTCCTTCTTTAAGGGGGACATCTTGGACAGGGGACTTATAGCTAAACTTTAGTTACTGAAGATTTGTCTAAATTTTAGATCTTTTCCTATTCTACTTTACTGGCGCCGTAAAAGAGCAAGTAGGGAGCTTTAGCAACCACCACCACGACGAAAACGACAACGTCAAAACACAATCGGATTTATGAGCAGAACAACAGCTCTACACGTGCATCACAGTTTAAGTGCATTTCTTTGACGTCCACTGTACGACTACGACGTGAAACTTCCTAATGCGACGTTTTATGAAGGACGTAAACGTACGATGACGAATTTCCCTTTCTCTTTTTGAACCTGAACAATGTCCTTAAGAATTCGACTCTAGGAGAAATCGCTCACTTTTTACTTGAAAGGTTTCAAATAGACACGATAAAATTTGGAAGGACGCAAATTCTATTTTTAGCGACGTTTTCACTGCCACCGCCGTCGATGTTGCTTTAAGCTCCCTTAAGTCAGCGGAGATACCGTATCGTTGACTTGTTTGCGCCGCTAAAAATAGCATTACATACATATTCTATATAATGTTAAAAACAAAGAGTTCGGTTTAAGAGTCAGTATAGTTCCTTGAGACTGCACCAGAATACTATTTCAGCTCGGGAAGAAAACATGTAGACACCAATGAAAGATTTGAACTTTTGGTTAAAAGCTTAACTAGCAGAGCAAAGCGTCTAGTCAATCAGTAGATCTCAGTAGAGTCTTTATGCGTCTGACTATTGATTCTAAGTTTTACCGAGACATCCCGGAGTTTAGAGATGTTTTAATTTCCTGGATGAAAAGCCAAGCCAGAAATGTGGGGTACGTTTTTTGTTATGAATCAGGTCTTAAAATCGAGTTTTTTCTATGGTATATGTTACGAACATAAAGTTGTGTTTGGAGAGTAAACAACTACAGTTATAAAAAGTGCTTCGAAAGAGATTTATTAGTTAAGTGGTTAGTTAAGAGAAGGGGTGTTGACAATAATAGCTTTGTACAGGATTAGTGGTAGTGGCTATAGAGAATAACAGGCTCAAGCGACATTTTGGTACTGTTTGTATTATATTGGATAAAGAGCTAGATATACATAGAAATGAACGAAGTAGTCATGGACACAAATTACTGACTCTTTTTTATGCTTTTCTTTCATCGTAATTCTCAGTAGGATGATTTAGATTAAAACTCAGTCCTATGGCAAAGTTTCTTAGCTCTAGTAAAATAGATAGAAATCCGCGAAAGGGGCCTTTTTTCTAAAAAAAAACTAAGGTAGAAAAGAAGCTTAGCTCAAACCCCTGCCGGTGAGCTATCGTAACCCACCGCAACCTTAGTTTATGGGCTAGTCATTCCAGTTTACCAATCTTTCCCGAAATGACTGGAGTAAGACAATAGAGAGTAAAAAGAGGTGAAAAAAAAAATTAAAAACTCTGCTTGTGGTGTGAATGAAAAGGACAGTTTCCCTGGTGACCACGTATAGAAAAGTCACTTCTCAGGACTCCAGACATAGCGAGATTAACTTTATCGCACGCAGATACTGCAGTTTAGATCTACCTAAAGCTCTGAAGATAAGCTAGAGCGAAGTAAAATGAATCACTACTCAATTCACTTTGAAAGTGTTGCTATTCTCTTCCAACAAAAAGTAACTTCCAGTGATACTGCCACCGACACGGATCCATTCGCGTTTAAGCAGCTGAGGGAAAGGAGACGATGTATTTATCGAGAAAAATAACAATATGGAAAAGCCAAGAACTGTTAAACTACGGTATCTTCAAATCTTTATTTCGCTCAATACTCTATACATATACGGGAAGTAATCTTCTGCTGACGTACGGTGACAAGAACTATATGGACTCCTGACGGTTTCTATATACAAATTTTCAGTAAATAATCTCTATAAAACAAACAAACAAAAAGTAGTAATAAACAAACTCAGTCGGAAGGTTAAAACGTTGGCAGTACTTAGCAAGTTAGCTTTGCCTTCTTGATTAGATTTCGGTTAAACGCTAGGAAGGCGATCTCGTTTTTGGCAGGCATTTACAGGGCTGAGTTGCTCAAAGCATGGTTAGCTTTAACCATTGGTTAAGCAGTATCAAACCAATACGTTCTCAAGGTATTAAACGCTGGTTAACGCTAACCATGCTTCGGGCAACTGGGCCCAGGTCGCTAGGCACCGAATCAGTCAGTAGGCTCACACTCAAGCCTTGGATGTCTCGATGCGCATGTGCGATTCTCTTCACCTCACGATCCGATCTCACGCGCCATGAGATGGGGAGAATTGAAGTGACAGTCGCATCGAGGCTTTTGCAGCTCTGGAGTCTGGGCCAGCGGTCCAGTTTGTCATCGCAATCCATCAATGTAATGCACATGCGCCATGCGTAGGCTTGCGTATACGATTTCAAGTATACGATTGTAAGTCACAAACCACAAAAGGGAATACCTTATTATAGGAAATTAAAGCTCCATGAAATTAACACGAACCGTTAAAATTCGCGTTTTTTTAAGTCGCGTTAATTTTGTTGAGCGTTAATTTCTGTGACGTTAATTAAGTGCAGCGTTAATTTCCGCGCTCTAAATTTCCAGTATTTTAAACCCAATTTTGGAACCTGTCCAGACACCTAAAAAACATTAACTACAAGCTTTCGTTCTTTCCATTTACCCTTTATTTTTCATCTTTCACAAAAGCTAACGCGAAGGTTTACAATATTTCGAGTTCATCTTCATCGTTGTCGCTGTCAGAAGTGATGTCAGCTCACTTTTGTTCAGTTTTGAATTTTTTTGCATCCAGTGTTGAAATAAATTTGTTCCCCTTGCCTCCACCAGCTGTGTCTTAAACGCGTTTATTTCCTTTATTATGAAACTATACCTCCTCTTTCGCGTTAATTTTCTTTATTCGAAAGTCGTTTTCAATTAAATTCGCGTTAATTTAAGTCGGGTTAATTTCCAATACCTTAATTTCATGGAGCGTTCATTTCCTATAATAAGGTAGAACATACTTTTAATCAAAGACTAGACGGCACAAGCTCTTGACTACAGAAATACTGTCATTATTTACACACTTTCAAAGATCAAGTATTAAAACGCGAAGTAGTCAGTATTGTATTAATAAAGGATTTTGTTTTGTACCTGCGTTTTCAGGGAAGTGAAAACGGACAAATTAAATGGGCCAAAAACTAACATAACATTTTCTTCACCTTGGTTACCGACCTGGAAAATCTACAACCCTATAATCAGGAAAAAAAAAACAGAAACAGAGTTGATATAGATAAACTTAAACATTAATAAAGAACTTGTTTCGTATGCAACATTACACTTATCGCCCCTTGTAAGGAAGTAAGACATTCTTGGATTCTGGATTCCACGCCCTACAGTTCCGAATTCCAGGTACTGGTTCCAGTCTTTGTCGGTGGAATTGGTTAGTGGGATTCTGGATTCCTTGAGCTGTCTTCCCTATTCCAAAGCCCAGGATACGGATTCCAGAAGCAAAAATTTCCCGCATTCCCTTACACTGGGCGAGATTTAAGTGTTGATAAATAAATATATGAGCAAACAAACTGGTAGGTAGTCGCACCGCAGAACAAACTTTGCAATGAAAATCTCTCCTAGGCATAGTCTTCTGTGTGAACTTCGTGTAGCCCCCAATTTAGCCTGCGAACATACCCCCCCCCCCAGCTAATTCTTGAACCCATGCTTGATCCCCGTAGGCCGCCAGAAAACGACTGGAGGCACCCCATTCTCCTTATTCCCTTGAATATATTGAGCCACTACTACGCAGGCTACATGAGAGCATCACCTCTGGAAGTACCCTGCACGCTTGAAACGTGAAATATTTCGATGCAAATGGGACGTTTATGAAAGACGTGAACAGACACTAAGGACATTTTCCTGTCTCTTTTTAAACTAGGGTACGGTTCGATGCTAACTGCCCATCTCCACGAAAATTAGCCTACCTTTGAGAACTGAGAAAATTGGAAGCCATCTTTGGTACGAAATATTGTTTGCCAGGTTCGAGAAATTTTTAGTTTCTACTGTCCCCCTTATCATTCCTGAATTGAATGGGAATGAATAAAAGCTAAGTTAAGTCTGTAAAATGTTCCTCAGTCTCCAGGTACCCATTCTGTATGGCCAACTATTATCACTTTGGGTACCAACTCGTCTGGTAGTTTGCCTTGCTTGATGTCCTCTTCCAATGAGGCTGTCCGTAAGTACTTACAAAACCGTACGTCATTCATGCTTTCTTCAAGCGACTTGCGGTGTTCATTGTTCAAAGTGTTACCAGCCGTTGATTGATTAAGCGCCGTACCAGGGCTGGAAATCTTTCTGGTAACTTTTACGTCTTTACTTTCTCGATTTGCAGAAGCTGATTTCTCCCTCTTAGTGGGAAATCTTTTCGGTTCCTGCATAGCTTTCCGCTGTTCTTCTTGTAAACCGTCATCTTTTGTCCTTGCACCTTGATCCGATGCTCTTCGTTGTAGTAATGCTTTATCCAGTTTTAGAGCAAGTTCCTCTCCGAAGTCCCCGGTGCAGTTCTTTCTAAAGCCCCCAGGGGATGGTGACCTGGTCCACCCTGAAAAATCTCTTTTTGGTGTACGCGGTGAGCTAGGGGCAGACCTTGACTGACCAATATTCGCTGGTGCTGTCAAAAGACAACTAGGAGATCCCGGCCGGGAGTAGCTCATGTTTGTGGCAGATAGCCTTCTTTGCCTACCATTGCTATTTGCACTCGAACCAATAGAAGGCAAAAGTAGTCCTTCAGCTTTAGGGTTAGCTACTATCACTGGTAATTTGCCACCATTTTCACAGCGATAGATCTGAGGCAGCAGAGTATCAGAGATTGATCTTTCTTGTTTTCGAAAACTTGTTAGATCAGTAATCATTTCACCGCTCAATAAGTCTTGATATTCCGTGTTCATCATAAGACGCGAGGGAGCAGAAATCTTTCTTGCACCGTTGTTAGACGCATTCCGATGTTTTTCCATCTCTAACTCTTTCTGTCGGGCCTGGTATTTGTTCTTGTAAAACTCCAAGGATTGCAAATTTCTCTTGGCATCAGTACTTAATGAGCTCATGTCCGCTTTCATCTTGTTCTCCATCAATGCGTTTCGAGCCAAAGCTTCTCTCATTGTGAGCGAGAGCTTGTCTTCCTTAAGTTTCTTCATTGTGCCCTCTATATAAGTTCTCTGAGATCTACTCTTCAAGTGCAAAAATCAAAAAGAAAGTCTGAACCTGTCTTGATCATAACCATTTGTCTGTATTTCTTAGATAACAATGAAACTATATGCGGTTCACTTTTTGTATAAGGAACAATTTGAATACACAACAAAAAAAATCAATTAGTAATGCAGTCCCACAGGAAGGCTGTATTGTAGCCTTAATGGTGATTTTAATCAATAAAGAAAATAATTACGCTTTATTTTTCAAATTTAAAATCTTGTTGCAGTCAAAGACTACAACATGGTCAATATCTACGCAACATACGCTCTTAAAGATGCGCTAAAATAAGAGAATGCATTAATTGGTAGTTGTACACAAGTTTCACGTCACTTGTTTGTTAGCTCGTGCGTCTGTTGCATGGTTACTTGGCAACAAAAATACAAAATTAGAAGCGTATTTCCTTTTCTTATGCCTCTAATTGTTCTTGTTTTGTTTAACATTTGTATGGAGAGAAGAAAACGTGTAGGCGACTCTAAAAACAATGGAGACATCAAATGTTTGGGCGGGTTTGTCTAGTAGCTGTGTTCAGAATTTTTAAATTATAAAGTGCTGATTCAGTCGATGCAAGGTGAACGTGTGCGTACGGTGTTAGAGCGATTTTACTTGACCCGTGAAACAGTTAATAACAACTAGTGCAAACTAGCTATAAATAAACAAAAGAAGACAATAGAATTAGTTCATAATAGTGTGTAGTATTCTACTACCTATTTCTCGGGTTAAGTAAAATCACTCTAACGCACATGTTGTTTCAGATAACATACAGATTTAGCCATGCCTAAAAGCTCAGCTTCCTTCTAAACACTTGTATTTATGGCAATATTAAATGCAATCAACTTAAAGTTATGACAGGGGCACCCAATGGATCTGTTCCTCAAAATATCTGTTCTTCAGACACATTTTTGCTGGCTGGGAGATGTGGAAGAAATAATAGTCCTTGGAGGAAAGTGTTGCTGGGGAAAAAGATAATTCAGGGTGTCAGAGGGGATTTGAAGTCTAGAATAGCTGCTACGGGTTACTTGTATGGCTTACTTACCACTCAAGATCTGAATTGTGCCCTATGAAACTTCCCAGTAAGTCAGGTTGCAGGTTGTAAGTTTGCTGGCTGGGAACTCTTCCATCAGTCTTGCTGGGAGTGAGGAACAGATAATTTCTTCCAGCAATCTCCCAAAATGCTTAAAATAGTCTCAGAAAACTTTATTCACGCTTTGTTGTTGTTTTTAGGTCTTTTTCTCAAAATTTCCCGTTGGGTGCCCCTGTTATGACAAAGAAACCTGCAAGTCTATTTACAGTTTTGAGGGTGGCCGTTGGGGATTTAGGAAAAAAAACCGCTAACACACCTAAAATAAAAATTTCTCCCTGATCGAGCCGAGTCTTAGTGTTCCTAAGGTGCAGGTTAAGTCCGATAACAGTGCTTCATGGATAGAAAGGGGGACGCTGACACAGGACGAAATAACGTGTTTCCGTATTTTGGAAACTCGACGGAAACGGGAAGTTGCTTATATCCGTCACGTTTCCGCCCTGCGGAAACATGGTGATCTAGTTTTCCATGGACGGGACGCGTTTCCGCCATGTTTCCGCGTCGGAAACGAACGATCATGTTTCCGCCACATTTCTGTCATCACATTTCCGTTCTTTCTTGTTTCCGTTACGTTTCAGGTGACGAATTTTTTTCTTTTTTTTAACCCATGTCCAAGATCGCATGATAAATGTTTCGTAAACTTTGCCTTGGCGTACAATCAAGGTGAATAAAGGTAAATTTACTCTCGAGATTAAACGGTTCTCATGCATTACTCGCGCGCGTTGCATTGATGCAAAGACTGTGAAGTGTGCGAGGTTGCCATTGCTTTCCATTCTAAGTGATAAAAATCGCAGAGCTTACCAACAGCTTTCAATATTTGCCAGATTGATGTTAATCAGTACTAGTACTGGCGTAAAACTAAAATTCTCTTAGACGGAGAAAACAACAGAGAAAACAAGAGAGAATGGGGCCTAGAACAGAGCGGAGTGCTGGTCAGCGGACTTTTCCTTTGCTCATGCTCATTACGGTCATTCTTTTTGGCGTCCATTTTGAAAGTGATTTCAACGGCTTCAAATTTGCCAGCTTCTATAGGTTCTAGGAGCGTGGAATCGGTATATTTTTGCTTTCTGATGATACCACAAGACATCTAAGGGTTGTTATGTATATTCACCGACCCATCGGCCTTCAGTAATCGATCGCTTCCCTCGTAAAGCGACTCTTTTCTGACACAGTGGAGTAGAATGTGAGACAAAAACCTCGTGATGCGCAAGTATAATTTGAAAGTTGGAGTGTTTTACCGTGCTAAGGCTATCCAAGGCGGAGGATTGTAATGGAATACCGATAGTAAGACGAGGTAAGCTTAACAGTTTTCCATATTTCATTTTTGTGGTCTGTAGCATTTGAGATAATGCTTGGGAGACTAGACATATTTGTTGACACAAAGCTGTGATTGATAAGTACAGTAATTTCCCGAGCAGGAAACTGCGACATAATAAACCTGAATCCTCTTACTAAACAAGGCGAGGCGCTGCACTGTGAGGTCTGTGAAATGATTGTAGAAAAATGGTTAGAGGGTTCCAGTGATTTTGTTACAAATAGTATATGCATGGTGAGTCCTGTGACTCATTTTGTGAATAGTCAAGAGTTCTGGCCTGTCCACATGCACAACCAGTGAGTCCCAGTTAAAAAACAGGGAGTCCTTAATTGAAAATGCTTGGTACGGCCCTTTTAACCAGACAGTTAATCTGGAGACAGATGCCAAAACTTTTTATGACAGTTTACTAAAATGAAAATATAGTCCTATATATTTAAAGCACAAAAAGACTAAAATATTTATATACATCTTTAAACAACAGCTACAGAAATCGCACAAACAGGATATTCTACCAACAAATCTTCAAATCGATCGATCATCCTTTGCATCCTACGGGATGCATGCCATGAATTATTTTGCGTCTTTGGATAATTTTTTGTGTGAGGGACACAAGATGCAGAGGTAACAAAATCACTGGGGTTTGAAACCATTCCAAATAGTGCACCAGTTTCATTTACTGAGAAGGACGGTAACAAATATTGTTGATCGTTTCATATGTCCAGGAAGCCCCTACACAGAGTTTTTTAAACAGCGACGACCAAGTATGTATGCTACGGAAATACAAAAACATTTAATCGAAAATCAGGTTGTTGACCCGCAAAGGTTCGATAAGTCATGTATTGACAGGTGATTTCGGTTACTCTTGCAAAGAGTTGACAATAGTTCCAAAAGAGAGCTTAATCTAATAATATAATAATGCTCGACTGAGAACGCTCAAGAAAAAGTTGAAGCATAAATTTTTTTTCAGTAACTGTGATCCCAGGAATACGTACTTCTTTGATGAGAACTCAGTGATTAAAACAACTGGGAAGTGAAGTTACTGTTGAGCAAACTTGTGAAGCTCAGTCGTAGTTGACAACTATGTCTTGAAGTTCGCAATTTGATTCCCTAACTTGCTAAGTAATTGGCTACTTCATGATGTAGTACCCAATTTTCCAACGAACTTTGCAACATGGTGTGGTAAATAATGTGAAATCGACTGTAACAGAGTGATCCAGACTTTAAGAGCGCTTTCCATTTGTCAGAACTGGCCGGCCGGACCATTGTCCAACCAGTCGGTTTGATATTGAAATACGCTTTTGCCAAGAGTTTTTGCTGAACAACCATTTCCTTGGTGCACACTACTTAGGATTTGACTGATCTGGCTGGAGAGATTTGATTAAAATGGAAATTCTCATTGCGTTGGGAATGGTTTGGCCGGTCGGTTCTGACAAATGGAAAGCGCCTTAAGTCTTCATTTCAGTGGACAGCAAAACCAGCAGTGGAGTTAAACTAGTAAAACCACTTTTATTTATCCTGTATTACCCTGCAGTTCTATGCAAACATCATATTGACCAGGGGGAAGGAGGGTACTGCTTAAATATGTTCTCTTGAAATCCAAACAATGTTCCCACAACTTGCAAAGCAACCAGCAGATTTGTTTACTGATCATTCCTTGAATATCCACACTCATAGCTCAGCATACATTGTTGTCAGTTAAGATGTTACATGGTTGCGGTGACTGTCACATTTTTTTTAGTTTCTCTTGCATCTTCAGTACCAAGAAACAATTACAACATGTGAGAAAAACAAAGAGGCATGATATTTTTGTCAATTATTGACTATATTTTCTCTGTTGGTTCGCCTCTCACTGCTAAAATATTTACTTTAGGAAACACATGTACATGTATATCCAGTATATCACATTGAATGTTTGGCTTTCAAGCTAGATCAAACTCTTTTGAATGAAAGAGTTTGATGCAGCTCAGCCATTCAACAAAACCCACTCACAAAAAAAAATTGAATAGATCATTTGATTTTTGAATTCAGTAAAACATTGAGTTGGGTTATCAAACAAAGTGGAACTCGCATAAGGAACACTCGAATGGAACAAAAACAAGCGTTTCAGTTCCAAGCAATTGATGACAAGTGTGTTAATTATTGATCTAGTGTGAAAGCAGTCAAGGCGATGTAAGATCCTGCTTCTTTTATTATTTCCATTTCAGAGTTAAATTCTAAAATAAACATTTTCTGTGAAAATGTCAATACATTTATTTTGTTTACCAAGGAAAAAGTCTTTAAATCTGCAAGTTGAAATCATCTTGGTAATCATCTCAGTTATTACTCTTCACTACATAATTGGCCTCAATAATATTGTAGCATATTCTGAATCCAGCACTAGTCAGATTTCCCAGGCTTGTTTAGTTGACTCAGTTTTCACATTTTATTTTTTTCCAATATAATTTGGTTTGTTTCGATATTGTTTGATGGCCAAACTGTTTTGTTCGGGGGAGTTTGATGGGAACTTTGTTTTGCGTAATACATTGTACACCGGAAGTATACATTTACTGCAG